GTAAATTTTCAGCAAATGTTAGCAAGTATTATTGCCCCAGTATAAACTCTTTGAGAACTTTCTTTCGGGGAGAATACTAATGATCCATTATGTCTTACTTGTGAGATGTAAATTTATTGACTTATCGCTGCTGTGCTTGGCATGTTGAGCCCTGTTTCTGTTTATTAATGTGATGAGGTTACATATGGGGAGTGAGAGTCCCCACCATGCGGTAGCATTAATTATCAGTGTTTCTGTGTGGCTGCAGGAACCGATTGCTAGCAAGTGCTGGTTTCTTCTTTCTTTTTCTTTTTTAAAAAAATCCCATTATATAATTTAACAATCATTTTGTTCCATAGTGAGATGAAAAGAATTTAGCAGCCTTCAGCTGGAGCTGAATGGAAAAGCAAATTATAGAAATCACTGACATTAGTGCCTGGCTAGAGTAGGATTGTTTCCTACTGAATATTTGAAAGTATTTTGTCCAATCTAATTTTGAAAGACTGGAGTCACTGGGCTTCTCCTGCTTTCCTTAGAAAGTGTAATTACCTGGCCTGATAGAGCTCAGTGGTAGGACATTTTCTCCAGCTGATACTGGAGCAGTGGATGTATTTGTAGGAGGTCTGGTCACTGTGTTTTTCAAAACGGGATTTGGAGAAGGGGCACAACCATTTTTTGTTCACTTGAGAAAATATTCTTTTCCTTCTATCCAAGGATGTTTCTTTGGTGTATCCTGTTGCTGTTGAACCAGGGTTTACTAAATAATGGGATTTTCTTTAACTTTGCACAAGCATTATGGAGAATCCCCCAAATACACAGAATTAGACAGAACAGCCTAATGAACACCCATGTGCCCAAAACTAGCTCCAGCAGCCTTCAACCAGTGGCCAATTCCACCCCATCCACATGCCCATCTACCTCCCCCTTCTGTTATTATTTTGAAACAAATCTTGCTTATAATATTTTCTTTATTTAATTCTGGTAAAATACACATAACATAAAATTTACCTAAATTTTAATCATTTTAAAATGTGTAATTCAGTGGCATTAAGTATATTCACAATGTTGTGCAGCCATCACCACTGTCTAGTTCCAGAATTTTTTCATCACCCCAAAAGGAAACTCTGTACCCATTAAGCAGTCACTCCCATTCCCCCTTTACTAGTCCATTTCTGTTGCTTATAACAAAATACATGGAAGTCAGTGATTTATAAGAAAACAAAACTTATTGCTTATGGTTTCAGAGGCTAAGAAGTCCAAAGTCCAGGGAACACATCCGGTGAAAGATTTTTTTGGTGGTGACTTCAGAGACGGCAGAGTGTCACATTGGAAATATGGTGGAGCAAAGAGAGACTAACCTCTCATGATCTCTTCTTTTAAAGCCCTTAGAACTATTCCCCTGACCACCATTATTAATCCACTCACTACTGCATGGTTCTACAATGTAATCACCTCGTCAAGGCTCCGCCTTTCAATGACCATAATAGGACTTCCCACCCTCTTAATAGTCACAGTGGGGATTAAGTTTTGGAGACACATTCAACCCAAAGCACTCCCCCACCCCACCTCCAGTCCCTGGAGATCACTAATCTGCTTTCTATCTCTATGGATTTACCTATTTTGGATATTTCACCTAAATGGAATCATATAATATATGGCCCTTTTTGTCTGGCTTCTTCCACTTAGCATAATGTTTTCACAGTTCATCTGTGTTGTATCACGCTTGTCATTCCTTTCCGTGGCTGAGTAATATTCCATGTTATGGATATCCCACATTTTGTACATCTGTTCATCTGTTGATGGATGTTTTGGTTATTTCCACCTTTTGTCTATTGTGAATAGTGCTGCTTTGAGCGTTCATATACAAGTTTTTGTTTGAGCACTTGTTTTTAATTTTGGGGAGTATATATCTAGAAGTGGAATTGCTGAGTCACATGTCAATTCTATGGTTTTATTGAGTAATTTACCAACTGTTTGTGACAGTGACTGCACCATTTTACATTTTCATCAGCAGTGTATGAGGGTTCCGGTACCTCTACATCCTTGCCAATACTTGTGATTTTCTGTCTATCTTTTCTTTTTGGTAAATTATAGTCACCTTAGTGGGTGTAAGGTGGCACCTCATTGTGTGTTGCTTTTCATTTTCCTAATGACTAATGACATTGAACATCTTTTCATGTAATTGTTAGCCATCTGTATATCTTCTTTGGAGAAATATCTATTCAAGTCCTTTGCCCATTTTTAAATTGAGCTGCTTGTCTTTTGTTGAGTTATAAGAATTCTTTATATATTCTGGATACTAGACCCTTATCAGATATATGACTTGCAAATATTTTTCCCTTTCTGTGGGTGGTTTTTTCACTGTTAATGCACTTTGCACAAAAGTTTGTAATTTTGATTGAAATCTAATTTATCTGTTTTTTTCTTTTGTTGTTTTTCTTTTGATGTCATATCTGAAAAACCATTCCTAAGTCTAAGGTCGTGGAGATTTATTCTGTTTTCTCCTATGAGTTTTATACTTTTACTCTTATATTTAAACCTTATCAGATATATGACTTGCAAATATTTTTCCCTTTCTGTGGGTGGTTTTTTCACTGTTATGCACTTTGCACAAAAGTTTGTAATTTTGATTGAAATCTAATTTATCTGTTTTTTTCTTTTGTTATTTTTCTTTTGATGTCATATCTGAAAAACCATTCCTAAGTCTAAGGTCGTGGAGATTTATTCTGTTTTCTCCTATGAGTTTTATAGTTTTACTCTTATATTTAAGTCTTTGATCCATTTTTTAGTTAATTTTCTGTGTATGGTGTGAGGTAAAGGTTTAACATCACTTTTTGCATGTAGATACCCACTTGTCCAAGTACTATTTGTGGAAGAGACTGTCATATAATTTTATCCATAAGTATTTCAGCATGTTTCTCTAAAAGATGAGTGCTTTTTAAAAATATAACCACCATACTATTATCACACTTAAATAATATTAACCATATTTCCTTAGGATCATCAAATATTTAAGTCTGTATTAAAAGTTGTAGTTGTCTCAAATTTTTAATAGTTCTTTTTAAAAAATCAGTGTCCACATAAGGTACATTCACTGCAATTTGTTGGTATATATCTTTTTAAATATCTTTAAATCTATAGGTTTCCCTTCCGTCTTTTTCCCCATGCAATTTATTTGTTGAAGAAACTATTTGTCCATACTAGTTTCCTAGTCTATGTTTTACTGACTGTATGTAGTATGTTCTTCAGTCCTTTAAATTTCCTGTAAATTGGTGGTTGGAGCCGGAGGCTTGATCAGATTCAGGTTTTTGTTTTTTGTTTTTGGAAAGACTACTTCATAGGTGGTGCTTGTTCTTTTCTCAAGAGGCAAATCATATTTATTCCTTATTTGTTTTTGTTTATGTTAGCAACCATTGACGATCACTGCCTATGTCCTTTAGTTTATTAGGGTCATTCTAATTCTATCAAGTCTTTTTCATTTATCTGATGAAATACCTACTTTTCATGAGGAGAAGCTTTCCCTCTTTTATTATGTAATTACCCAGTGGTAAAATCTGTATAAGAAAGACAGGATAAACTTTTGATTCTTTCCCTTTATTTACCAGTTCTCAAAATAAGAAATTGTTTCCTTATTTTCTTCTAACAGTGCCAGTTTATTCCTTTTGGGGATGGCTTTATTAAGGCATTTCATTAATTTAATGTGTTTCTGATAATGCTAAAATTATCCCATCTTTGGCCATGGGGAGTCTTTTCAGGTTGACTCCTAAGTGCTTTTTGATGTGATTTTGTGGTCTTTGACAACTTCCTGGCTATTACATATGGTAGTTTTCCAGCTCTTATCTGGTGGGAATGTAGTCTATTGTGGCAACTTCCCAAATTCCCCCACAAAAGCTTCTTGTAGGCCTCAAAACTAACACTGGCTCTTTGGAGAAGATGGGAGGGTTTCCCCAGCTTTTGTGGAATCATAAAAAGACAAGTCAGAAAAGCATTGGAAACTCATTCTTGAAACTCATTTTATGAGTTTTTATTGAGTTTCTGTAAGGTGTACAGAGAAAAAGAAAACATAATTTCTGCTTGAATATTTTGCAGGCTGTGGGGATATCTTTTTGGACCTGGTGACACAGTGTTGATGTCAGAAATGCACATTTGAACAAAGCCAAAACATCAATGTGATTATTATAGCTCCATTTTAGTTCTGTCTCTAGTTATCAAGTCAGGGATTATCAATACCTAATAAGGTGACTTTTGTTAAAGACGTTTTTGAAGAAGAAAGGGTAGAAAGGGATGTGTTTATCTAAGCCGAGAAAATGAATGTAAAAGCACATAGATTGCTTTTCTTCTTCTAGTCTCTATTTGCCCGTTAAGTAAGGGCGATGTCTATTTTCTGCCTGTTTTAAAAAGTTGCTGAGTACTGTAATGAGTTTATATTTATAGAGCGCTTGGAGCTTTTTGGATGAAAGGTACTAAATTAGAGTTTATTGTTTATTGAATTTATTTGATGTGTCCAACCTCATGGGAACATTTGCTGAAGTTAATTAAAAGCATAGTCCCCACTCTGACAGCTTACAGTGCTGCCTACAAACCAATAACGTAAATAGTGTGCACTTCTATTGTCCTTCCTTGGGACTGCCTAGAGAACCATAGGTATTTCTGACAGGGGAGTGATCTGCTTTTATAGCAAAGATGAGTTTGGCTGCTAGGTAAAAACACAGAAATACTCTTGACTTTGAGCCACCTACCAGCCTCTATTTTAAAAATATACTTGGAATATGGAGATTTTCCTCAATTTCCAACCATAACTTACAGTAAAAATTTTTTAAGTAATCTTTTCTTTCTATCACTTTGGGAGTAAATTAAGATTTAAAAATGTATGTTTTATATATTGCTTTTTATGATCACTTTTTCTTTGTCGGAATGACATTCCAAAGCACCCAATTGGAATACTTTATGCCTTCTTAACCTGACCCAGTGGAAGCTGTGAAATGTAATGATAGTAATGGTTTGTTTGCTTCCTTTGCCAGTTGGTGATGGAGTTTTGTGGCGCTGGCTCTGTCACTGACCTGATCAAGAACACGAAAGGTAATACGTTGAAAGAGGAGTGGATTGCATACATCTGCAGGGAGATCTTACGGGTAGGTGACAAGTGGGGACGGGTCAACCTCCCAACATGTGCAGGCAACACAGGATATCTTGGAAGGTGTTACATTTTGTTCTAACCTTCTGGTGAATTTCATAAACAGCAGAAATCTCTTTAAAGGTTTATTCTAAGAGTGACGGTGGCAGTGGTAGTTTGGTGCGGAGGTCTACTCTTATGGAAGTAAGAGCCATTCTGGAAAAGCCACGTGCACTTTCATTGGAGGGTTGACATTGGGGTGATTTCCCTTAACAAGCAATTTTCTCTGGTGCTTCCAATTAGAAATCTGATTTTAAATTATAAAGATAGTGTCTCGTTTAGGAAATAGATTGTTTTAACAGATATTTTGATAGCTCATTTGAGTTATGCATTTGTGAAAGTTTATAACTAATTTATTATAACAAATGTTGTAATTTCTTCCCACCGCATAAAGTCTATAAGGATTGTATGACTTTAGTCATTTCTGTACGCACAACCTAGTTTAAAAGATTTTACCTTTTTTAAAAAACAGATATTTGATACTTAGTCATTTAAATCAATCAAAATAGCCAGACAAGACTGTTCCTGTGTGTCCAGTTTTGCCCACAATCCCACGATCAGGCAGTCTAGCCAACAGTGTCATATTCGTGGAGCTCAGTTAAGGGAGAAGAAAATGATTGGGTGTATTTTAGTTCATTCGAACTGGTTTAATCATCTCTTGTTACTAATATGAAGACCATTATATGCCCAGCGAACGTTCTCACTAGTCTGTTCAGCAATCAGTATTTAGGTGTAAGCTCTGCCTTCTTAATTTAGGGGAACAGAGGTTAGAACTGTTTTTCATGATGTGTCCAAGATCTGCTTTTGAGAGAAAGATATGTGCTATGGATGGATGGATGAATGAATGGAAGTTAAGAAAGAAGGCAGGCAGGCATAAGATGATGTCTCTTCACTAAATGCGAACCAGATGTAGGCAAAAGAAAAGTAGAAAATGAAATTTAAAAATAACATTGACAGGGCCGGCCCGGTGGCGCACTGCTACAGTGCGCCGCTTGGGAGTGCGGAGGCGCTCCCGCCGAGGGTTCGGATCCCACATACAGACCGGTTCCCGCTCACTGGCTGAGCGAGGGGTGGGCGCAGCACCGAGGGTTGCGATCCCGTTGCCGGTCCCGGTCCGGTACGGGCGCGACACTGAGGGTTGCGATCTGTTGCCGGTCACGAAAAAAGACAAAAAAAAGGAAAAAAGAAAAAAAAAATAATAATAACATTGACAGCATAAAAATCAATTACTTATGAATTTGCAGAAAGATGTGAATGACTTCTCTGAAAACTACAAAATATTTTGTACTGAGAGCAGTTAAAGACCTTAATAAAAGGGATTATATACCATTTCATGGATTAGAATACTCAATATTGTGAAGATGTTATTTCTCCCCTGTTTGATCCAGGGTTTCATTGAACTCCCAATCAAAATCCCTATAGGTATATTTGTGGACATTGAAAAGCTAATTTTAAAAAAATTATATGAAAATGCAAAGGGCCAAGAACAGCCAAGGCAATTTTAGAGAAGAAGAACAAAGCCAGAGGATTTATGCTACCAGTTATCAGGATTTGTTACAAGTCTACTAGAAAATTAAGACAGAATGGTGTTGTCATGAGTTTAGACAATGGACAAGGGAACAGAATTGAGAATCTAGGAAGAGATCCACCTTGTATGGGCATTTAATTTATGACAAAGGAAATGCTGCTGTGCATGGAGAAAAGGTCCTCCTGACAGTAATAGCGCTTGGTCAATTGCATATCCATAAAAAACACAAACCTGACTCCTACATTATTATACTGTATTCAAAAATTGATTCCAGCTGGATAAGAGATATAAATGGGAAAGGTATATATAAACATTAAAGTCTTAAGAGAAAACATAAGATAATACCACTATGTCTTGGAGAAGGCAATAAAGATTTTTTAAGCAGAACTCAAAACAAAATTTAAGAAGAGAAACAAGGAGGCCTGGCTGCTGATCTCCTTCACATTTGACATTTATCTCCAAGTCTTCATGTACCGTCATGTAAACTTAATTTTAATTTCTGACTTAAAGCTTGGCTCAATCAGGGAGAACATGATGGATTATTTAGTCATCCAGACCACAGAGTGGGTGCCAAGAATTTATCAGGTCTCCGGGGTGGTTGCGCCCAACAGGGCTTTCTGCACTGCTGGGGAACCCTGCAGGGGATCAGTCATTTGATCTCCAGCGTTCTAAAAGTATCAGGGATGTTTCACACCAGAGGCATCTCTCAATACCTTGCATTAAAATGTGTGAAAATAGTGGTTTTCTTCCTTCTCCGGTACATTCTCCCACATGATGCCAACATTTGAGATGAGGTTACCCACTGGAAGAGACATTTTTACCACCCAAAGGTCCTGGTCACAAGTAGTTTAGAGATGACCCTCCATGCATCGTGTGATCTCACGAAATACAACTTTTGGCTCACTTATAAGCTCTGGTGTCTGCTTCCAACCACTTCAGTGGTGAAGGAGGGATGGGGATCTTCAGTTCCTCTCTTAAAGATTTATGGGTGGTTATATGCTGTGAGAAACATACATTTAAATCTGCTTGATGCCTATCTTGAGCCAAACTGACTAGATAAGAAAGGTCATTTTTAAGACCAAACCCAGTGCCTCACACTGTCGTGTAACATGGTATATGTTTACCAATATTACTAAATGTACATATGGATATTTTTGGACATCCATACTGTCATGCTAAATATTTTCAACAAGGGAGGTCAGATATTTTGTTTTGTTTCTTTTTGTGTCAGCCTCATCATTCATACCATGATTTTGTTGTGGTGGTGAAAAATTAAAAGAACAGAAAATCATAAATAATAAAATGGCAACACTTGGGTACCCAATACCTTGAATTAACAAGTGTTAGCATAACATAATTTGTTTCTAGACTTCAATTTTAGATTCTTTTGGCTTATGTTTTATCCAAAAAAATATGGTCTACCTTAGAGTAAGCTGTAGCTTATAGAACTCACGTCATAAAGAAGCTAAAATCAGTGTAATTCATGGAGAAATGAAACGCAGTCAGGTTTGGATATTACTGAATCATTATCTCACATAATGAGCACAAAGTCACAAATATCATAAAGCATTTAAAATGACAGTGATAAATGTCAACAAAGGAAATAGAAATTGTTTTCCTTTTAATGTGAGCCACATTGTCTAAAGCCCATGGGAGATTTGTTGGCGGGTCTGAGAAATATTTTATTGTGCTTAATAAAAATTGTATAACAGAAGGTAGCTTTTAACTTCTAAATTTAATTTTTAAATTCAGATATTGCAAAATAANTTTCATTGAACTCCCAATCAAAATCCCTATAGGTATATTTGTGGACATTGAAAAGCTAATTTTAAAAAAATTATATGAAAATGCAAAGGGCCAAGAACAGCCAAGGCAATTTTAGAGAAGAAGAACAAAGCCAGAGGATTTATGCTACCAGTTATCAGGATTTGTTACAAGTCTACTAGAAAATTAAGACAGAATGGTGTTGTCATGAGTTTAGACAATGGACAAGGGAACAGAATTGAGAATCTAGGAAGAGATCCACCTTGTATGGGCATTTAATTTATGACAAAGGAAATGCTGCTGTGCATGGAGAAAAGGTCCTCCTGACAGTAATAGCGCTTGGTCAATTGCATATCCATAAAAAACACAAACCTGACTCCTACATTATTATACTGTATTCAAAAATTGATTCCAGCTGGATAAGAGATATAAATGGGAAAGGTATATATAAACATTAAAGTCTTAAGAGAAAACATAAGATAATACCACTATGTCTTGGAGAAGGCAATAAAGATTTTTTAAGCAGAACTCAAAACAAAATTTAAGAAGAGAAACAAGGAGGCCTGGCTGCTGATCTCCTTCACATTTGACATTTATCTCCAAGTCTTCATGTACCGTCATGTAAACTTAATTTTAATTTCTGACTTAAAGCTTGGCTCAATCAGGGAGAACATGATGGATTATTTAGTCATCCAGACCACAGAGTGGGTGCCAAGAATTTATCAGGTCTCCGGGGTGGTTGCGCCCAACAGGGCTTTCTGCACTGCTGGGGAACCCTGCAGGGGATCAGTCATTTGATCTCCAGCGTTCTAAAAGTATCAGGGATGTTTCACACCAGAGGCATCTCTCAATACCTTGCATTAAAATGTGTGAAAATAGTGGTTTTCTTCCTTCTCCGGTACATTCTCCCACATGATGCCAACATTTGAGATGAGGTTACCCACTGGAAGAGACATTTTTACCACCCAAAGGTCCTGGTCACAAGTAGTTTAGAGATGACCCTCCATGCATCGTGTGATCTCACGAAATACAACTTTTGGCTCACTTATAAGCTCTGGTGTCTGCTTCCAACCACTTCAGTGGTGAAGGAGGGATGGGGATCTTCAGTTCCTCTCTTAAAGATTTATGGGTGGTTATATGCTGTGAGAAACATACATTTAAATCTGCTTGATGCCTATCTTGAGCCAAACTGACTAGATAAGAAAGGTCATTTTTAAGACCAAACCCAGTGCCTCACACTGTCGTGTAACATGGTATATGTTTACCAATATTACTAAATGTACATATGGATATTTTTGGACATCCATACTGTCATGCTAAATATTTTCAACAAGGGAGGTCAGATATTTTGTTTTGTTTCTTTTTGTGTCAGCCTCATCATTCATACCATGATTTTGTTGTGGTGGTGAAAAATTAAAAGAACAGAAAATCATAAATAATAAAATGGCAACACTTGGGTACCCAATACCTTGAATTAACAAGTGTTAGCATAACATAATTTGTTTCTAGACTTCAATTTTAGATTCTTTTGGCTTATGTTTTATCCATACCATGATTTTGTTGTGGTGGTGAAAAATTAAAAGAACAGAAAATCATAAATAATAAAATGACAACACTTGGGTACCCAATACCTTGAATTAACAAGTGTTAGCATAACATGATTTGTTTCTAGACTTCAATTTTAGATTCTTTTGGCTTATGTTTTATCCAAAAAATATGGTCTACCTTAGAGTAAGCTGTAGCTTATAGAACTCACGTCATAAAGAAGCTAAAATCAGTGTAATTCATGGAGAAATGAAACGCAGTCAGGTTTGGATATTACTGAATCATTATCTCACATAATGAGCACAAAGTCACAAATATCATAAAGCATTTAAAATGACAGTGATAAATGTCAACAAAGGAAATAGAAATTGTTTTCCTTTTAATGTGAGCCACATTGTCTAAAGCCCATGGGAGATTTGTTGGCGGGTCTGAGAAATATTTTATTGTGCTTAATAAAAATTGTATAACAGAAGGTAGCTTTTAACTTCTAAATTTAATTTTTAAATTCAGATATTGCAAAATAAAAGGGGGGATTCAGTTAAATCAGGTTAGTTCTCTGTACAGAGACTCTGTAGATGTTTCTTTTACAAACTAGCAGATACAAAGAGTGCTCACTTTTCACAGTACTGTGTTAACTGAAATGTGGGCATGCTGGAACCGCACAATGATGTGAGTGGTTCCGTGGTATCTCAGATCAGATCTGATGTGCAAGCATTGCATTTAACACAGCACCAGGCATTGCAAGGACTGCCTGTACCTTTCAGTTTATATTGATCAATTGCCTACAATTTAGAATAGCACTAAGAGCACATGAGAGATGTGAATGTAATTCTGGAAGTATCTCTGGGTGAGTTTAATTATTATTATTATTATTTTGATCATTCAAAATAGTTTATTTGCATCTTGGCTTATGCTCCTACTAACTCTTCTCAACTCTCTATCACTCCAGGGGCTGAGTCACCTGCACCAGCATAAAGTGATTCATCGAGATATTAAAGGGCAAAATGTCTTGCTGACTGAAAACGCAGAAGTTAAACTAGGTAAAAACAGAATCCGGTGAGCCTAGGAATTGCAGAAATTGATTGGTTTATTTCAACAGCCTTTTTAAAAAAATTAATGTAATTTTGTCCCTGTGGATTTGCATTTTGAGTAATGAATTATATACAGTATGGTGAACAGAGCAGTGTGCTTAATCCATGTGTAGAAATAATTGAGATTTTTTTTCAGTAAAGATTAGAAGTGACAGACCTTGAAATGGTTGCCTATATCTTAAAGTTTGTTTATGTTGTTGCTACTGTAACAGAACACTGAGGACCTAATTTTTTTTCATTGAAAATATCCATTTAGACATAATTAGAATAATCAATTCCTGCTATATTCCCATATGTTTAAGTTATGGTTACATTGATTTCATTGTTACCCTGGGAACCTTTGCAAAATGGAAGCTCAATATTCTGCTTTAGGTACATACTAATTACCGCCCTTCCATCTGCCAGAGTTATCAGCGGGGGAATCCTTTTCTTTGGCATATCTGTATGAGGTACCTAGAGTAGTCAAATTCATAAAGACAGAAAGTAGAATTGTAATGATTGGGGTCTGGGGGAAAATAGGGAATGGAGAGTTATTTAATGGGTACAGAGTTCCAGTTGGGGAAGGTGAGAACGTTCTGGAGATGGATAGTGGTGATGATTATACAACAATGTGAATGCACTTAATGCCACAGAAGTGTACATTCTTAAATGGTTAAAATGGTAAGTTGTATATTATGTATATTTTACCACAGTAAGAAAATACACATTTATTTTGTCACCATATAAAACCTATGATCATACACTTAATTCATTTGTCTTTTTTTAAATAGTGGACTTTGGTGTCAGTGCCCAGCTTGATCGAACAGTGGGCAGGAGGAATACTTTCATTGGGACTCCCTACTGGATGGCACCAGAAGTTATTGCCTGTGACGAAAACCCAGATGCAACATATGATTTCAAGGTATGACTTCACTGTGTTACAAAACCGTGCCTACCAACTCATTCTGAATCTTGCAGTAGGAGAATTCTCATGTGCCTGTGGATTTATGATTTATGTGATCCAAAGGGAAAACTGAAAAACATTATTTGAATTAAAATTATAAAACATACAAGTGAGAATCTTTTTAATGAATTCACCCATCATATCTGATTGCCTATCTGTGGAAAAAATGTTTGAACCATTTTCTACATTCTTTTGAATTTACTCTTGCTTCTTATTATTGAAAAATAGATTAATTTCCATTTTGATTATAGTTTAGATTTTTCTCAAAGTATATATTTTGATAGCTTTTTATGTTCAAAGAAACAAAATATGAATTTGTTGTCTTGGGTCATCTTTTTCTAATTAAGAATAATCAGACATCCTCTTTTCTACATTTCACAAAGTGTAATTATTTGGGGTTTCTTTTCCATGAGAGAGAATCAAATGGGATGTTGGTAACTATGGTGTTTCTAAGGAGAGGCACAGTGTTTCAAAGAAATTTGATTTGTGGCTTGTTACTTTGTATTGTGAACTAGAAATTTGCTAATAAATTCAAAGCAGTGTTCAAGTAGACTTATTCATGAAGCTCTCCTCTTTTCTATTCTGCTAACCAGTAATCAAGCATAATTTTGGGTTACTACCCCATCAATAGTGGCAGTGTCAGGTGACACTGCTTTTTCATGAATTGTGGCTAAAATCAAGACAGTAAAATTGGGGACAATGAGATATTGGAACTGTGGGTTTTCATACTGTGCACTAGGTAGAGAGACACCCTGTGGTCTTTGTGCAGATCACAGGGCAGCCTTGGGCAGGACTGGATAATCAAGACAGTAAAATTGGGGACAATGAGATATTGGAACTGTGGGTTTTCATACTGTGCACTTGGTAGAGAGACACCCTGTGGTCTTTGTGCAGATCACAGGGCAGCCTTGGGCAGGACTGGATGCTACCTGAGCTGATTTCAGAAGTACATGGACTTTTCACCAAGGACTTTAGTAATCCTCTCTAAATACCCTCATCTTGCAGATGATGAAACTGAGCCTTGAGGTCTTTGCAAGTGTACAACCAGTTAGTGAGCTTCTCAGAGTTGGGACATGAACCCAGGTCTTCCTACCCTCTGCTCAGAGCTCTTTCCAATATATTACCAACTCTATATAAATCTCCAATTTACCAACTGAAGAGTATAATTGAAGAATTCCTCTTTTAAAGAACATTTTAAGTTCTCTACATGTGGGATTATTATTGAAATCAGGTCACAAAGATGCAAACATTGCAGTGTCTTCAGGACCCAGTGTCTCAGGGCTTTGACACAATTATTTGCCTCTTTGGAGAGATGCACACTTGAAAGTCTGAAAACATAACAATCTCCTGTAAATTTCCTCCTTCTTTCAAAGTCAGTCACTGTAATAATTTGACAACAATCTGTCTGAAAACAGCTGCCAAGTTAAAAATTAATCTCCTGCCAAAATAAATGTCATTTATTTAAACTGCTAATACTAACCACATTTAAATAATTTCATTTTCAGATCCCTTTAGAGGAGCCACTACAAAATATATGTCCTGGGCCAGTTATGTGTGTCATAATCAGCAATAAGCAATTCTTCAAACTATAGTTATACTTAACAAGTGCTAACCAGTCTACGTGTGGGCCACAGATATTTTATACTACTTTATAATACACCATGGAGAATCAGAGTGTTTTAGACTATTACCCTCAGCTTAACCTTTTATGTATTGTGACTGACTGAGTTGTATATGGGACTTTTGTTCTGTGACATAAAGCAGATTCCTGTGACTGAATTATTTTCAGTAGAATAACTAGAAGAGGACTTCCTTCTGGCCAACCCAAAGCTTGGAATTAAACAGATATCTCGGTCCTCTTCCCTCAGGTCATGGCTAAGAATATAGTTTGGGATCAGAGTAAAATCAGTGAGACAATGCATAACTCTAGATGTGGGCAAAGCTTGGTGTATGAGTTTTTCTTTGTCATTTATTAAAAAGTAATCTCGATGGACAGAACAGGTTCAATCGTATCAGTCATTTAGACCTTAATGTGAATTAGTTTATCAATTCTGATGGGTAGGTGTACAAGAGCAGGAAAAAGTCAAGGCAAGAATATAAGCTTCACTGGCCATTTGTCATGGATAAAAGAAAGAGCATGAGAAAAGGGTGAATAAGGAAGACCAGGAAGAAAGGAAGGTTTGCGGGTTCTTCGAAGATTTATTTCCACTACTTAACAGTTTTACTGTGAACCTTGGAAGGTGCTAATCTTTTAATAATCTTTCTCTGTTTTTTTGGGCACCATATCTCATCCTTTTTCTTTTTGTTCAATATTCTTAGGAATGTGGTCTGTCACCAGGGGACAAGTTGACAATAGGATCTGTCCAAATCCAGCTTTCAAAAACCATTTATTCATTCACTCCATCTTCATTGAATACCCACTGTGTGTAAGGAATTAGCCAAGCTGTGTCTGTATATGCAGTTTCTTCCTAGAGAGTTCATTTGAGACCCCATCAAAGGATTTGGTAGTGTCTTTGGTCATACATTTGGCCCAGCAGCGTACCCCAGCCCCAGAAGCTGATGTCAACCTGCTGGGCTCTCATGTGCCATAGATACTTTCAGCTGAGAGGACATGTGTAGAATAAAAGATGACTTGAAGTCCACTGGACTTTGTTAGATTCCCTCCCACAAAAGCCCTTTCTTTAAAATACAGAAGTGAAGAGTACAGTCTGGTTTTGTTATTTGATTTATTATTTTTTGATTTTTTTATTATTTGATTTGTCTAAGATGTCTTTAAAGACCCCTGTAAGTTTTGCTTTTTTTTTTATAAACTAGAGTAATTCCATATTACAAGGTGCTCTGTAGGAAAGTAGTCTGAAGAGCTCATGCTTTTAATTGAAGTCTGCTTTCGTGTGATATCTACTGGCCACAGTTAAGTAACTCGCTGAAAATAGACCCTCTCCTAAGGTGGAGCACCAGAATCTCATTTGCTTGGTGTGTCGGCTTTTCCCCAGAGGCCCTTCCTTTTTGTTTTCAGAAATTCTGTCAAAACACTTCAAGTAAAAGGAAAGGTTTCATTTCCCTGATAAGTATGTGGGGCAATAATAAAGACTTTCCCATTTAATAATAAGCACTCAAAAGATTTGAAATTAATAAAACTGTTCAAAATTCCTAGGCTGTTTAAATTGCTATTTTTTAAACTTACATTGAATTTCATTTCAGTCGGATGGGATCTGCCAAGCATTTTTTAGTCCTATATATTTATTGCTTTAACAGAACAATAAAATTCTAAATTTCCAAAAAAAAATTTCTCTGTAGTCAAATGTCCATCAACAGGGAACAAGTTGAATAAAGACTAGGGAATCTGTTCAGTGGAATACTACGCAGCCATTTAAACAATAAAGTAGTGTGTGTGTTGGATTTGGACAGATCCTAAGATACATTAAGTATATACATAGGTACAAAAAGCAACTTACTGTACAGTACACATTATATAGTCTAACTCCCACACCCATACCCCGTGGGTCCCCTATTTACGATGGCTGGACTTAAACGTTTTTCAAGTTTACAATGGTACCCAGACAACCATTCTGTTTTTCACTTTTGATACAGTGTTCAGTAAATTTCATGAGATATTCAATACTTTATCATAAAACAGGCTTTGTGTTAGATGGTTTTGCTCAACTACAGGCTAATGTATGTATTGTGAGGACATTTAAGATAGGCTTGGCTAAGCTAGGATGTTTGTTTGGTAGATTAGATGTATTAAATGCATTTTCAACTTATAATATCTTCAACTTACAATGGATTTATCAGGATGTAACCTCATCAAAAGTCAAGGAGCATCTGTGAACACATGCACATACACACGCGTACACACCCTCAAGAAATTTGGAAAGGAACTGGGAAAACTTAACAGTGTTTACCTCTGAATAGGGCATATGGGTAGAGAGCTTAAAATTTTTGTTTTCTATGTCTTTCTGTCCTGTTATAGTGTATCTTGTCATAAACAGGCCTTGCTCTTACATTAAGCTAGCAAAGTAAGAGAACTACATGGTCTATTCCCTCACCAACCCCCACCCACCCCACCCACCAGGTTCCTATCCTCAGGCCTGATATGTGCTTGTGTGTATTATTCACCTAAACTCTGTTTCTGATACTTCTCACACAGGTGCTGCAGATTATTTGCAGACATAGGTGTCTCCTCCAGAGTTTGGGTGAATATTGTGCTCTGACTCATTCTTCTGTGTCACAGACGATTGGCATTATTGGGGCAGGGTGGAAATAACTCCTCTAAGTAAGAGGTCCAGCTGAGACAAAGTGAGCAGCCTGACTAGTGGGAGAGTCACCGCGATGCAGGGTGTCACCCGCAAGGACAATATTCAAATTGCAGTGTGGTGCATTTACATTCTCAGACAAGTCCTGGCCTCTGTCTACTGAGATTCAAACAAAGGTTCTTCCTCATTCAGTCCGAGGGAAGATGATACAGACCCCGTGTTAGTGTCACCAGCAGGAAACTGAAGCTTCTATTAAACATACTTCTGTGGCCGCATGCTCACATCCAGCTATATAGGATTTCTTACATCGTGCATAGCCACTACCTCCTCCAGGCAACCTGCTGATCCCTAGTGGAAGAGAATAAGCTATTCTAGTATTTTCCCTTTGGTCAGGTAACAAATGTAGATGGACAAGGGACTAAAGATTTCTGTCCTCCATTTGTTTTATGCATGAAATGGGAGTAATAATAATTACCTCTGCTTGAACACCCTCAGTGATCCTGAACTCACGTCAGGTAACAAATGTAGATGGACAAGGGACTAAAGATTTCTGTCCTCCATTTGTTTTATGCGTGAAATGGGAGTAATAATAATTACCTCTGCTTGAACATCCTCAGTGATCCTGAACTCAGCACCCTAGCTCTGTTTATATATAACATGGGATATGAGTATATGACATGATGAATGATTCAGTCTTTTGAA